AAGTAACATCAGTTAGAGAGAGATTCTAAGTGGGACAATGAAAACGTTGATGCAGGGTCAAACTAAGAAAGTCCTAAATCCCTTTAGGGATGAGAAACAACCACGTGGATTATTCCCGTCCCCTTCAAACGAAAAGTGAATCGATCAATCGAAATTACACAATTTTCTATGAAATAATTCGGAAAATATCAAATGAAATGATGATTCGACAACAAAATTCGTAACATTAGAAATATCGACAGAAGAGAAACGTAAAACAATGAAAATAAATGTCCCAAATATATATATAGAGTTTAAACATATTTGCATGAAACAAACAACGACGAAAAAAAGGAAACTAAAAAAGAATTAAAAGATTGTAATACAATTAGAGAAAAGAAAATGTCCATAATACAAAAATCGAGCCAATAATATTCGTCTAGAAAATAAGACAAATAAAAAAGGTGGGTGGGTGGGTGGGTTGGTAGGGTTTCGCCTTGACATTGAAAAAGACCTCGTTCGTTTCCAGTCATTGATTTAGCGTGTGACTCGACGAGAGGAAACGTTCCAAGATTCGCTGCAGCGTTTTGCCGCATTGCATTGGTGATGGTATGTATCCTTTTACGCGGGGGGAGGGGGGGACACCCTAAGATCTTTCTCATCGTCTGACTATGAAAGAATTTCATATTTTAAAAAAAAAAGAAAAACAGAAGAAGAAACAAAAAACAAACAAAGAAGAAATAAGGGTGGTAAAACTATATATAAAGAGAAATAAATGAATGATGTAAGAAGGGCGAGAGGGAGAAAAAGGAAACGCATTTATCTTCCTTCGAAAGATAAGAGAAGAAAGAAAGAAAGAAAAAAATAAAAAAAAAAAAAAAGAGAGAGAGAGAGAGAGAGAAAGAAAAGCATTGCTATCAAGTGCTGCCAATTAGCTAAATGAAGAACGTTGGTTGAAAGGGTCCCTTGGTATAGATAGAAAGATAAAGAAAAATTGTCTTTCGTGGTGAGAAGCCAGAGAAAAAGATAAAATATTATGAAAACTTTGCAAGAACGCGTATATATATATATATGTGTGTGTGTGTGTGTGTAAAAAATGCATATCTGTATGTGAGTAAAAAGAGAGAAAAGAGACTCGTAAGGATTTAAACGAAAAGTGGAGACGATTATATATACCTAAAGGTAGCGCACAATAGTCTACTAAAAGATTCACGAGGGTGTGTGAGGCTTTACTCATTTTTCGATAGAAAAATATAGAACGATAGAGAAATAGAAAGAGAAAAAGGAGTTAGTAGAAAGTATGAACCAACCTACCTACTACCACCCCGCTCCTCATAGTCCTTTGCGAATACGACTAGAAACAGAATTTCATATCGTGTAAAAGCGAGCAAACCGTGTTATGTGTGAGCTACGTGCAGGACAAAAGAGAAATGTGGGAGGTCGAGCGTAGGGTTCCTCGTTTTTTTTCCTTACCTTTCTGTTTTTTCTTTTTTTTGTTTTTCACGTTCATTCGTTCGTTCGTTCGTTCGTTCGTTGAGTGGAAAATATACGATGCTAGCAGGTAAAAGTATACCCTCTATCTTTTTCTTATCAACGAAATTTTACAACAAGAGAAAAGGAAAAAGAGAGAGAGAGAAATAAAGAAACAAAAATAAAGAAAAGTCAATGACCGACACATAGATGCACAGGATACGCACACAGCAGACAGACAAACTCACACACTCACAGATAGAAATACGAATTTTTAAAGAATTATATCGAAACGAGACCCCTTTCAAATCTATTCTATTCGGAATATATAAGAAATCTTTCAATGAGAATCACTTTTAACACCATAACTCGTACCATAATTGATTTTTTCAAAAGTCCTCTCAGATCTTGTCTTGTTTGGTGAGCTTCGTTTCATTTTCTCTCTGAACCTTTCACGGCTATTGAAGTGTAAGGAAGCTTTTCTAACGTTCGCAAGAGAAATTCTAATGTAAATTTATTTGGCAATGAGAAACATTATTATTCTCTTCTATTCAAATCCAACGAAACGAAGACGATATTGCGTATATTGGTGTATATAAAAGTAGATATATATATATATAATATATATAATACGTTTAGTACACAGTACACATTTCTAAGGATTGAAATGTACATGAATTTTCAATCTACTCTCTAATATATAAATATATTTAATATGCATAATATATATATGTAGCGTGGTGCATATACACAGGATTAACATAATAAATTTCATGGAATTTGATTAGTCGAGAAAGAAAATGTTAAATATTATATAATGAATGAACAAACGCGGATTGAAAGGATGTTTAGTTTCTTCCCCTCATAAAAAAAAAAATTCATCTTTTCTTATCATCCGTCTATCAATTTATCCATGAAAAAAAAAAAGGGGGAGATAGGATCCCAATACGAGATTCTTCATATTCGGGTTGGAAATTCTTGTAAATCTCGACTAGAGGGTGGTGGCCGATGTTTTGCCGAGCATGGAATTCACATCATCTTCAGGAGTACTATACATTTCTTCGAGAAGTACTCGGACCACAATCTCGCATTCTAACATATATGGTTACCATACCCACCAGAGAATTCGAGGCAACCATTTTATCGATCATCCCCCCCTCCTCCCCCTTATCCTCCTCCTATTCCTCCTTTACCACCTCCTTCTCTTCCACAAACTCTACCTTCTACTCTTCTTTTTTTTTTTTTTTTTTTTTTTTCCTTTTTTTCTCAGTCTTTTCCGCGTCCCATCATGTTTTTTCGCTTTCTGTCATATAAGTGATGGTGGTGGTGGTAGTGGTAGTGGTTACTCATAACCATCGTACGTTAACTTTTTTTTTTTTTTTTTATTCTTTCCTTTTTCATCTCAGTCTTTCCAGCGTCCCATCATGTTTTCACGATTTTCGAGGTAGAACCATATATATATACCTTCACGATCTCGTTCCTATCACCTGCTGCTACCCTTTTACCGTCATCTGCAAATCCATAGCTTTTGGAAAATAGTCGAAAAATATAATATATGAATCCTCTACTTCGAATACGCCCACTCTCTCTCTCTCTTTCTCATCTCTTTCTCGCTTTATTGATATGGATCTGTGAAGATTGGTTCGATCGAGAAAAATATAGTGTGAAAATTCAGTAGGTAAACGAGAGTTCGAGGAAAAAAGCGAACTTTGAGAAGAATAAAAAACTTGGAATAAATGTAAATAGATCTTTTTTTCTTTCTTTGATATAACTTTAAAATTCTTGTTGAATTTTGTCGAAATGTATTTGAAATTGTTTTGATTAATTAATTTTCAAAGAATAACTAGAAGACTTAGGAGGATCTTTTTTCTTTTCTTTGATATAACTTTAAATTTCTTGTTTAATTTTGTCGAAATGTATTTGAAATTGTTTCGATTAATTAATTTTCAAAGAATAATTAGAAGACTTAGGAGGAGATATTATTTTCTAATAAATAATAATCCTTCCATGCACATTTACTACTAACTGTCACGTAGCTGATCATTCTCGATAATTTTTTTTTGCATCCCCTACACGTATACCCGGTCGTTGACTTCTTTCACTAGACAAGTGAATGCTTCGGCATCGATTCGACGTTCACGCAGAGTGCGATTAATCCACCGTGTATATCTACACCCCGTTGACTACACATTTCCCATAGAATTATTCCGTGAGTCTTTACAAATAGAAATTCAACGAACCTTTTCGTATTATTTCAAAGAACAAATCATATTAAAACAACAAAATCTTTTCTTTACGAATTTTTCTTTTTTTATACCAAAACGTTCGAACACATTTTTTGCCTGAATATTTTTAATTATCTACGTTTTTCTTATATGAAGGATTTGTTTACACGTCTATGCGAGTCAAGTTAATTAATATTTTTTAACAATAACATATTGAAAAAAGTTTCTCGAAGTTAATGGAAGAACCGGAGTAATTTGGTGGTAAAGAATTTTGGAAAATAGAAACTTCTTTGTCAAAGTTATTGTTATTACTACAACTATATATGATATTTATTATAATAATAATAATAATACTTATTATTATTATAACAATTGCATATATACACATTGTCGTGCTCGAATATAGTTCGTCTTTCTTCGGGAATCTTATTTCAAACTTTTAATATACTTTCTTTTCTCTTTTTCTCTTTCTCTCTGCTTTTGTTGAAATATGAAAGAATTAAAAAAAAAAAAAAAATATAGAAATTCTTACAAGTTTCTATAAAAATGAAAGATATTCTTTTATCTTTGCAACACGGTTTCCCTAAAGAAACAGGCCAGTACTCGAAAATACAAATCCCTCTAATGGCATACCGAGATAAAAAGCAGAGCTTTGATCATTCAACTAGGTTTGACTGCTGCTTTCAACGAAGCACGATGATGATGAAAAAAAAAAAAAAAAAGAAAAAAAAAGCAAAGAAAAATTCTTGTTAAAAAGTAGTATGAACGTTGGGTATACTTTATCTTCTTATCGAAGTGCATCGAAAGAAAATTAAAAGGGAAAAGAATGAGAAGAGATAAAATCATCAACTAAATGAAAAATCAATTAATTATAAGAAAATACTATTCTCTGTGTGAAATGCATTTTTATATACTTTACCATGCACGCGTACAATAAAATAAATTATATTATTATTCTTATTATGCTCGTTATATTATCGAGTTCTTTTATTTTCTTTTTAATTAATTTCTATCTCTTTTTTATTGTTATTAAAAAAAAAAGAAGGATAAAAGAAGGAAAAATCTTGGCACGTTGTGTATGCTGTCCCGTTTAAAAAGCAAACTATATGATGAATAATTTTATCATATAATTTATTTATATTATTAAATTATTTTATTATTATTTTTATAAACTATATTATTAATTTAGATTATTAAATATCATATAATTTCTTTACTATATACGATCAAGATGTTAATAAAATTAAAGACATTGAGTTTCCGCCAATATTTCGCGTATAATATTTAAAAAAAATATTTAAACATATATATTTTGGTTTGTTACAGGTAATATTCGTGAAATGGAACGAGCCCTATCAGAAGTTAGCATCGTGTGACAGTTCAGGCGTAATCTTCGTTTGGATAAAATATGAAGGAAGATGGAGTATAGAATTAATAAACGATAGGAACACCCCAGTAACACATTTCTCTTGGTCTCACGACGGTCGTATGGCTCTTATATGTTATCGGGTATAATACGCATACATATTTAATAATATTATATATCCTTCAATTAATTTTATTTATTTTGAAAAAAAACTCATATGGAATTTGTCGACATCGGATTCATTAACGTTTAGAAACTTTTCATTAATATCATTCAAATGATTTCTAAAAGAATATTTTTATCAATACTGATCAATATCGAATATAATACCGTAGTATCAAGTTAACTTTAACCAATGTACAATGAATTGAATATCCCATTTCAAATGTAATCAGAGAATATCTTCAAGAACAAATCAAATTAATCTAGTGATACTACTTGTGTGTGTCTTTTCTCTATTAAACAATAATAATCATAATATAATAATTGTTAAATTTTATTGAATTTATATTTTTTTTTGTATTTTCTTTTTTTTTTTAGGATGGTTTCGTACTAGTTGGCAGTGTTGGTGGTCAAAGATATTGGTCGTCAATGCTGAATGGTAAAGCAACGATAACTTGCGGAATTTGGACACCGGATGACCAACAGGCAAGAATCATTTCGTACAGCAATTATGCACGTGGTTTGTAGGCAAATTATAATCTAGAATCTATCAGCTCGTTTTTAATTATGCTCATTTAAAAACAAAAAAAACATGAATCGAACGTTTTGCATTCCAATACGAATATCGTGTGATCGATCGCACACTTTGAATAAATAATAGTAATAGTCAATTTGTCAAAACACCACGAGTTTATCGGGAGAAATATTTTTCATCATCTACGATGATGATAGGTTTATTTTGGAACAACGGCCGGGCAATTGATTGTGATGGATGTTCATGGTGCAATGGTATCGGAGGTACAATTAGGAGCAGGTGTAACATCGATGGCCTGGAGCGCTGAAAAATTTACAATGGAAGAAGGTGACGAAGATTTTACTAGCGATAGATCAAGAAGAGGTAATTAAACAAAAATATTTTCATTGTTTTAACTATTAAAGTCGAGTAATTCTATAATTAAAAAAATAGATTTAAAATATGTATTTTAATATTTATCAATTTTTTTGGACACACACATCTTTGTGTGTATCAAAATTAATTAAGTTTTTTTTTTTTTATATATTTAATATACACACAAATGATTGTTATTACTTTTCATCCAAAATGGGTGCATTAAAAGAAAAATACTTTAATTTTGCTGAAACACACATTTCCCCCGTATCAAGCTTAATTAATTTCTATATTTTAATATAATCAACAGACGAACGTAATTACGTGTTAGCTGTTTGCCTCGCTGACGGTAACATAGTCATGTTACGTTCATTCGACGACGTATCACCGATCACTATATTTACCAACTTAAAAACACCTTTACACGCAGAATGGAGTAATTCGAGAAAGCTCTTAGCAATAGCAGGAACTAAAGAATCGGATTCCCTAGTTCAAAATAATTTCCAAGAATATACGAACCTGTTAAAATTTTATTCAGTGAACGGTACCCTCGTTTACACAACGACGATTCCATACACGCAGGTGAGCTTCTCCTCTTGTATCTACTACACGCGATAAATAAAACGAATTCTTATCGTACTGACATTGATTTACGAGTTTTGTTATCTTCAGTGCCCTGTATCGGCGTTAACCTGGGGTCATAACGACCGAAGACTCTTCGTAGCAACTGGTGCAAGAGTACATGCGGCATGGGTGTCCAGGTGATATATAATACGATTTATGTATGTGCTTTTCGCATTTTTTTATTTCTTCATTTAATTATTTGTGTTCATTATTTGTGAGATAATTAATAACGTTGACTCATCAATCAATTTCAAATTAATTCTACAAAAACTGTACGATATTATTTTGTTAATATATTATTATTTCTTAAAAAAAAAATAAAAATAACATTCACATTTGTAAAGTTATCCGTTAACCGTGTTACGTCAAATTTTGTTAATATATTTAATAAACGTCACACATTGATATAAATCTTATAGAAAAACGTTATAAGAACGTTTTACGTATCGTATGGATAAATCTCTTCTAACAATGGATAGTAATTAAGAGGAGTATTTAAACTCTAAATTAAATTTCTACGTCACAGGAGGGTCGGTTCGTTGCAGTTGCTATCTAGATTAGCAGTGAGGGCTGCCCTCACGAGAGAGTCCAGTGTCCAACAACTTCCTTTGCCACCGAGATTAAGAGCATCGGTAGCTGCATTGTTCGCCAGTACAATACGGTAAACGCAACTGCAAATGTATTATTAAAAGTACCGGAAAATATTTTCTTGTATTTAAAACCCGTTTCCATTTCCGCGATTATAGTGTACAGCGTTTTTATAATTTTAAACTTAAATATAATTTTTTATTATTTTCTTCAATATTTGTTATATATATATTATTATAAATGGGACCAATTTTTTCCGGTACTTTTAATAACAATAATTTATGAAATAAAAATATGTTTGATCGTGAAATAGTTTTATTATTCTAGATGTCCAGTACCAGAGCCAAGAGAATTAAGACGTTTTGTATCAAGGCCACCACCTGGAAGTGGAAGATTACATTGTACAATGCTTAGACATGCTATAGAACCTATACCTTGTTATACATTATATTTGGAATATCTAGGTGGTCTTGTGCCATTATTGAAAGGCCGAAGAACTAGTAAAATTAGACCAGAATTTGTAATATTCGATCCTCAGAATCAAGATACTTTGCAATTATTTGACGATGTTTCACAATGTCCTTCGTTCAGTGATGGCTCCGATACGGAAAGGGACACTGCTGATTTGTGTAGTTCACCAAGAAATCGTCGAAAAAATAGAAGAAGAAGGGAAGAAAAAAGTATCGAGGAAAGTGACGATTTAACTTACGTCGACACTTTACCCGAGGTAAGAAAATAAGATTTCTTTTCATTTTCTTCTAAGATTAGCGGTTTAATTACGTACTTAAGTTACTCGATCGATATAACACATCTCGCGTGACGTAAGGTATCTATATAGAATGTTCTAGGTTTAGAAAGGAACGTAAGAGTGTCATCATGATTTTACTTAACCGAATCTATTTGTTTTTAGCACGCAAGACTGGTTGAAGTTACCTCGAATATCTGGGGCACGAAATTTAAATTCCATGGGTTGGCTGATTCTGTACCAGCTAACTTAGGTCAAGTTACTTATCGTACATCATTGTTACATTTGCAACCAAGGCAAATGACATTGGTGATCACGGAATTGAGAGATGATTTACCTGCAGGTAATTGTTATATTTTTAAATATTATCCTCCAATTTCAAATGAAACGTATTTCACACAGGTCCAGATCCAAGTTTCAACCCAAATCTTTTTTCCGAGGATGAAGAAGAAACATTTCAGGATCTTCAAGGAACTTCTAGAACAACATCGGAAACCCAGCCACCACCTATAGCTCCGATGACACCGCGTAACGCACGACTGAATTCAAATCGTCCAAAATCTCAGATCTCAAATCAATTTTTAACCACAGAAGCCTTACCCGCCTCATTGGCACGCGTTGAAAGTTATGAAAACGAGTTTCCTTATGTAGATCTTCAAGAGATGACGAATTTGTACGAGAATATACGAAGTGCACCTACAAATACCTATCGTACACCACCGAGACATAATCCACCAAGATGTTGCGACGTTCCGGCTTTACAATCGCCTAAAAATGCAGTTGCACCGACACAAACATTGATAGCTACGTCGAATAATGGTACAGATTACTCGAGTAATATTCAAAGAGTTAAAACAGCGTTAGCTGATCAACAAAATAATGGTATGGTTACGAAAAAGGAACTTGAGAATAATAAGTTTAATCAGATATCTCAGGAAGATAAAACGAGCCTAAATTCTGGTTCATCGAACATTATTCCTACGTCCATGCACAATGGCCAAGTACCCTTAGGTGAAGCATCCAGTTCACAAAATTCCATGTTAAATAATTTAGATTCCGGTAACAATTGTTCTCAGTCGCAAATGATTTATATGAATGGATTAAACATCATAACGTCATGTTCGAGTAACGTCCTAAATTCTAATCACTCGAACAACGTGCAACAAAGCTGCCACGGTTTCTTACACGCTAGAAATAATCAGAACAACGGGACGAATTTGAACATTAGTCCTACGCAAAGTAATTTAAATCCGTTTCCAAAAAATAATAATGATTCGAACGGTTCGTCCAGTTTATTACTTCCGTCTACGTGTTCCTATCAGTTGTCCGATCATTCTGATCACGAACAATCAAGTTCATATTCGCTGTGTACGTTGGAACAACAGAAGGAAAACAAATCTCAGGGTACTTTTGGAAAAATCAATATTTCTAATAATCAATCGAGTGGAAAGACAGAGGAACTTCGTTTTATCGACGAGGAGAGTAGAGCTGAGGCTGACATCGAACAATTTCGTGGAGTACATAGGACATCAACGGTAGTTAGCATCGGACCACTTTGTTCTAACGATTCTATAGTAAGAAGTTGTAGCGTTGGATATTTGGATTTGGTCGATGCACAGTTGGTTCCTTGCGACGTTGCCTTGAATATGTTGAGAAAGGAAGCACCTAATAAGAGACTAGTATTGGTTTCAAGAAAAACGAAAAGAAGGAAAAAAAATCGGACGCAGCATGAGATTGGACAACAGAGTACTAAACCACCGAGACTTCGTAATTGTGGTAAATCGAAGAGTTTGGACTCTAGTGATATATTTCCTAGTAACGAATTGATATCAACTTCTCCTAAATTACCTGAACACCTAGAGGAAGCAACGAACGTTGTTAATTATTCGGAGATATTAACTGAGGAAAAGTGCAGTGATTCGAATGTTGTAGCTTTAGGTGAGATTACCAACGATACTGTGATTGAATGTCAAAAGAAGATACTTCATGGTGACGAAGAATCTTTCGTTAAAAAACCGAGTCGATTAGAAACTTGCGCGTCTCCTGTTAGGTGACTAAACAAATTATTTAATTGTAATATGAGTGAAAAATATACAAAATTAACTGATATTGATATCTCAAAATGATTTTTTAGAGGTTCTAGTCCGAGTGGTTCACTAGCATCATCATTGGATGGTCTCGCAGCAAGACTTAGAGATTTCGATGAGAGTCATTCCTTGCCACCACCTTCTCCTCGTCCATCTCCAAGGTAAATCAATTGATTCTATTACTTATTAGTTATTTATCTACATCTAAACACATTAATAATCACGCGTAGACTGCCAAGAAGTTCACCGAGCAGTCCAGCACCTTCGAAAAAAGGAAAGAGACCAGCTTCAGCTTCGCCAATCAGAAGGAGACTTCTCTCGAGTCCTTTATTAAGTAGGCGAATACGAAAAAGTCGTGGTGAAAGTTCTGACGAGGAAGGACTTATACAGGACGATTCGTCCTCGAGTTATCGAGACTTGGAAACGTTTCAGAAAGCACAACTTCGTCAAAAAGTTAGCAAAATTAATATTCCAAACAATATTAAACATAAAATGAAATAAAATATAATTTTATATACAATAGCCTATAGAAAGAACAAAAAATCTTGATACAGACACATACATACACGCATACATAACAAAAAAACACACGTGCACATATATCTCCACATAATCTCTACATTATTTTAGTTAAAACAGAAGAGTGGAGGTCATAATGGTCATAAACAAGAATCAACCAGACGAGAACTTGTGATGCACAATAAAGCACCGATGTGGAACGAGGCTAGTCAAGTGTACCAGCTTGATTTTGGTGGTAGGGTTACCCAAGAGAGTGCGAAAAATTTTCAAATTGAATTCCGTGGCAAACAGGCACGTTTTGAAATATATATTTTTTTTCATTTTTTACTCTATTACTTTTATCAATATGTTTATTTTTCTTTTTTCATTACTGTGTTTTATTATGCAGGTAATGCAGTTTGGTCGAATAGATGGAAACGCCTACACGTTGGATTTTCAATACCCATTCAGTGCATTGCAAGCGTTTGCTGTTGCCTTGGCAAATGTTACACAGCGGCTCAAGTAACCGTCACTCCCCAGTACCTCGTTCGATATATGTACGAAATTAGATACAATTAGTCGCACGATGCAACGAAGTATACAAAGCTATAATCTTGTTATATTTATTTTTTATAATTTATTATTTATAATTTCTAAACGTATTTTTTTTGAGATTAAATACTACCTACTTTCGATTGAATTCTAAAGTATATTCAGAATTAAGCTATGAGATTATAGATTATTTTTTAATAACTCTTTAATTGTCACTGAATTTTTAATTTTTCCAGATCTCTACGAAATTTGGAGTATGAATATTAACGACACGAGAAGAAAAAGACTTACGTGTACACAAGACACACACACACACACACACACATACACACACACCACACACCCTCACGTGTCTTTCGATTATAAATGATTTAAAATAATAGTCATATGGTCTAGAGAATGAAGAATATAATTAAGAAAAAAAATGGAGAGAAGAAAATACAAGATCATTTGATACGTCGAAACGTGTCGTCGAGAAAAGAAAAATAAAAAAAAAAAAATAGAAAACAAATAAAAAAATAAACGAAATTAGATAAGAGCACAAGATTCTTTGATGCGTTTTCGCAATGAAACATTTTGTTC